ACACACACACACACACACACACACACACACACACACACACACACACACACACAGCCTTTTACTGAGGCCCTCGTGGTTCAGTGACTTGAAAACATGGAAACTACAACTTAGAAAATTTTCAAGTGGTTGTGTTGATGCTTTTGTTTTTGAATATTATTTACTTGAGTTACAATAAGCCAGTTACGGTTTGCCAGATGTGGGAATTTTTAGTAAATCTGAACATTGCTGATGGCTCCATCAGCTATAATGTTGACAGTACAGCCACCTTATAGACCCCTAAACTGGCCAGATTTCTGTTAACAAAGTTCCTTTTATGAACCAGGAGCTGTCACAAACAGATGATACCCTGCTCTGAGTTGTCAGCTGTGATAAGTGAGTACCAGTGATACACCCTGAAGAGGTGACAGCTTCCCACTGAAAGACAAATCTGCTGTGACAGCCATCATGCTCTGATACTGACAACATTCTGACTTATGTTCTGTGTCATCACTGAGTTGCTAACTGGTATTAATAAAAGCACACCTGATGATTACAGCCAGTTCACCTCTACAACATGCCTGATTAACTTCACTGGGGTGTCAGAACCAGAGGTGAAAAAACATTTTGTTTATAATCTAACACATTTTGACTAACGGTGTTGTGAAAAGATTGGTTCACACACAGGTTTAGTGTCTTGCACTTTAGAACAAATCGGCAACTTCCTGATTGGCAGATGCCTTGTGTGTTTTTCTGACCTAATTATAAATTTCTGCCCATATAAATAAAGAGTATTTGTTGTGTTTAAGGACACAATTCGTAATTTCACTTTTTACTGTACATGCAACACTTTACACTGCTTAGTTCAGTTTGCATTGACCATTTGGAAATAAATACAAATTATGCACAGATGTTCACTTTCCTATTGTTTTAGACAAGTCTGTGGGAAGTAGGGGTATTGAGGGTGCTTCAGCACACATGTTACACTGCAAAAAATGTCCATCTAACCAAGTTTTAAACTCTTATATCCAGCCAAAAAGGTCTTTTTGACCTTGTTTTCAGACTTATTTAGTAAACAAGAACTGATTGTGTAAGAATAATAATCTTGTTTTCAGAATGTTTAAGATTATTTGACTTGTTAGTCTGAAAATTTCTCTCAAATTAAGTAAAAAATTTCTGCCAATGCAATAAGAAAATTTTACTTGGTAAGATTCTTGAAATAAGAAAAAATTGAGTCAAATCAAGTATTTTAAGAATCTTACTAAGTAAAATATTCTTACTCCACACAATC